CCAAAACGCAACATACCACAACACACCGCAACACAACACACCACAACACACAACACCACACACCACAACCCAAAACACAACACACCAGACCACAACACAACACAACACAACACAACAAAACACAACACACCACAACACAGCACACCACACCACAACACAACACCACACAACACAACACAACACACCACACACCACAACACTTCACACATCCCAATACAGTCTGCTTTGGAAAACTAAATAAGACCAGTCTGACAATCACTAAAACTTTAACTAAAATGAGAAAGGAAAGTATGAATATACTGTAATGCTAAATGAATGCTTGGCTCACCCCTCTGATCACTTTGCCCATCCCCACCTTGAAGCTCAGCGGTTTGGACTGTTTCTTCTTTTTTGCAGCTGGAAATAAATGATGATTTATACCAACTACTATCATTTGATAACCAGGAATCCTGTGCAATGGATTAATATATAAAACCATTAAAAAATATATTACTTGAAATAAAATAAGTTAACTAAAATAAATTTTACACTTATTTTATTTCAGCAAGTTGCAATGCAACATTTTTCATTTAGTTTGATGTATTAAAAAAAATTACTGAAAATGAATAAATACTCCATAATATACATATTTTTCACTCGCGGGGATGTTGCTGTCGAACACACTCCCGTCCTCCAGTTTTCCTGTGTACCAGCAGCTCACAGTGTCTCCTTTCCGGGGGAAGTTGGTCTTGTCTCCTTTCTTCAGGATGCTCTTTGTGAACTTCGGAGGCCCCTGAAACACCAATCAAACATGAGAATCATTCTGATGATGATGAAGCAGCAGCATGTCGTACCTCGTCCGCTGGCTCCGTCTTGGTTTCTTTCGGAGCGTCGCTGATTTTAGCAGCTTGCACCTGTTCAGTCCCGCTGTCCACGTCTGAGCCCTTAAACCTCTGAGAGAGACAGAGTCAGGATCTGGATCATCGAGAGTGAAGCTGAGACAGAGTGTGTTACCTTGCTCTCAAACAGCTGCTCTCTCTTCGCTGTCTTTGACACATTCTTGATGTTTCCAAGAAGCTTGTGCTCAGCTAGAAATTGCAAATAAATAGATTATTATTTACTTATTAGTTAATATATGTAAATAATCATAAATGGTTTAATAGTTATACAAAATGCAATTAAAAACAGTAATTTATATTAAACACAAAACAAATGAAAAATCCAAATTAGTTCAAAATATTATTTACCACAAAATAATTGAACAAATAAAGCAAAAATCTGTATGAAGTATTTTAAGAATAGCAAATAAAAACCATTAATACATAACTTTTAAATTTATATGTCTTATTTCTGTTTTATGTGTTAGATTTTTTATGTTCAGACTGTTTTTAAATGTGCTTGAACTTGATCGATATAGTTATACATTTAATTCATACTAATATTAATAATTATTAATCCTTTATATTTTCCAGCCTAACAGTGTAAATGTGTGTAGCGTGCACAGACACACGAGGGCAGTACATTCACACTCATAAAATCCATCAGGAAAAAGATTCATGTTTAAAGTCATAACTCTGATTTGCTAAACTGATTTATGAAAGAGACTCAGAGCTGAAGAACTGAAGCTAATTACTGAAAAAATGCTCCTGCACTTAGTTATAAGAACTTAACATTTGTGTCCCTGCAGCACAAAAGCAGTGTTAAGTCGCTGGGGTATATTTGTAGCAATAACCAACAATACATTGTATGGGTCAAAATTATACATTTTTATTTTATGCCAAAAATCATTAGGATATTAAGTAAAGATCATGTTCCATGAAGATATTTAGTAAATTTCCTACCGTAAATATATCAAAACTTAATTTTTGATTAGTAATATGCATTGCTAAGAACTTCATTTGAACAACTTTAAAGATGATTTTCTCAATATTTAGATTTTTTTGCACCCTCAGATTCCAGATTTTCTAATAGTTGTATCTCGGCCAAATATTGTCCTATCCTAACAAACCATACATCAATGGAAAGCTTATTTATTCAGCTTTCAGATGATGCATAAATCTCAATTTCGAAAATTGACCCTTATGACTGGTTTTGTGCTCCAGGGTCACATTTGTTGAGAGAACTTTAATATATTTCAGCTAAAAGTAATGTTATAACTGCAACACGAAAACTGGACATTTTAACGTTCTTAGAATATTTAAAAAAATAAACGTTCAAATAGTAAAACGTTGTAAGAAACATTTTTGTAACCTTTTAATAGCATTAAATCACAAGGAAAATTGACATTTTAGCGTTCTTAGAATATTAAAAATTAAAATAACTTTATAATTTGGCTAAAATAGTAGAATGTTGTAAGTAACGTTTTTGTCATCTTTAAATAACATTCTAATCAAGACAAAAAAAATGGAGATTTTAACATTTTAGAAACATTTCAACACAACGCTCCCACAAGGTTTTTAAATATATATCAATACTTTTATTCAACAAGGTTGCATTAAATTGATTTAAGCGACAGTAAAGATGTTTATACTTGTTACAATTATTTATAGTTCAAATAAGTGCGGTTCTTTAACTTTGTATTCATCAAATAATCCCGAAAAAGTTAAAGTATCAGTTTCCACAAAAATATCAAGTTTTCAGTATTGATGATAATAAGAACCATTAGTAATAATTGATCACAAATAATAATTGATAATAATTGAGCAGGAAATCAGCATATTAGAATGATTTCTGAAGATCATGTGACACTGAAGACTGGAGTAATGATGCTGAAAATACAGCTGTGCATCACAGAAATAAATTACAGTTTAACAGAGATTCACATAGAAAACAGCTGTTTTACATTACAAAACTATTTCACAATTAATTACATTTTAAAATATATTTAACAGAAAACCACTATTTTTAATTGTAATATTTCATATGATTATTTTTACTGTATTTTTTTTATCACTTAGCATTCTGTCAAAGAATAAATAAATAAAAATTAATTATTTCAAACATTTGACCGTGTGTATAAAATAGGCTAATGCATGTGAAAACGCAAATTATATTTTTATTATAGCCTAATATATGTGACTTTCCTAATGAGTGTTCTAGAGTAAGTCTGAGAATTATATTTAGCAGTCAGATGTTTAGACGAGTTCGGGTGAAGAATATTCCCTTAAAAGTGCAAACAATTGTGCTAATTGCTCTGATTCTTTGCTGAGGAGGTGTCTCTGTATGGAAGTAATTAGTTCTTTCTTGGCAAATGAAGCGTTTAGATTCTCTAAAGAGCAGCAGGTTTAACAATTAAAGCCGCATTACAAGTAACACAAGTTACGTAATCAGATTACTTTTTAAAGTAACTAGTAAAGTAACGCATTACTTTTTAATTTACAAGAGAATATCTGAGTTACTTTTTCAAATAAGTAACGCATGTTACTTTTTTTTCCCAATTTATTGATTGACAGCTCTGGTGTCGCCATGGTGACAGAAATCAGAAGATGTTACTGTAGTTCTAAAATAAATATGAATATGCATTAATTCATCTCACTCACAAAAAACAAAACACACACAGATTCAGTATTCCTCAAAATTAATAAAAATAAAGCAACTCAGAATATGACACAAACCTGCAATAATTAAATGTTAAACAACACAAATATGTTTTATGTATTTAATCCCATTCTATTTGCTTCTGAGCTTCGATGATCCAGTTCAACCGTACTAATAATCACAAATTACTCTAGACAAACATTTGTGTCTTTTTTTTTATTGCTGAAGTGTGTTGAAATGTCTTCTTCTGCATTCTACTGTACGGACGTAAATGTACTTTCCCTTCAGCCTGAGGCTTATTCATTTCACTTTTGGTGTGAAAAGGCTTTTATATTTGCCAAAAATATAACTTTTGTATTTTAAAAACAAACAAGCAAGCCCTGTCCAGATTTAAAAAGTAACGCAAAAGTAACGTAACACACTACTTTCCATAAAAAGTAACTAAGTAACGCAATTAGTTACTTTATAGTGGAGTGACGCAACATTGTAACGCATTACTTTTAAAAGTAACTTTCTCCAACACTGATCCATCGCTCATTAGACTCGTCTCATCAGACCTGCTGCACAAACTCGTTAGAAGCTCATATTTCTAAGTCTATTAGGAGTTTTGATACAGAGGTTTGCTGATAGTAGATTTATATTTGTTCTGTCATACGTCGCATACATTTAGTCGTTTAGCAGAAGCTTTTGTCTAAAATAAAATAAAAAACTTTTATTTTTTATTTAATTATTAATATTAAATATGTAGAATATATATGTATTATTATATTTGATTATTTATATATAATTTTATTTATAAACAATAAATATAATAATAATAATGCAACATTTTTATGAATTGATATAAAATATCTAGGCCTAATTATAAATAAGTAGAGTGTTTTTGTCACATGATCAAATTTTGATCACATGACCTTTTTTATTTGATTCTTTGATGAATGAAAAGTTAAAAAGAACAGCATTTATTCAAAATAGAAATCTTTTCTAAAAATATACGTCTTTGCTATCACTTTTGATCCATTTAACACATCGTCGCTGAATAAAAGTATTAACTTCTTTAATAAAACGAAAGAAAAACATACTGACTGAAACTTTTGAGTAGTAGTGTGTATTGCAACACAGAATTTCTATTTTGAATAAACACTGTTCTTTTTATTTTAACTTTTTATTTATCAAAGAATCCTGAAACAAATATCACAGGTCCCAAAAAATATGAAGCAGCACTTCATAAATAATAAATCAGCATATTATACTGATTTCTGAAGATCATGTGACACTGAAGACTGCAGTAATGATGCTGAAAATTCAGCGCTGCATCACAGAAATAAATTCTGTTTTAAAGTATAATACAATAGAAATCTGTTATTTTAAATTGCAATAATATTTCACAAAATTACAGATTTTTTTTGAAATAGATACAGCCTTGATGATAAGAAACTTCCTTAAAAAGCATTAAAAATCGTACTGATCCCAAACTTTTGAACGGCAGTGTGTGTGTATGTAATTTATATTTGTTAAAAAATAATAATATACATAAAAGTACCACATATGATGTTATTTTATTCATTGATGTACAATATCTAATTCATTGTATGAAACTTGGATCCAAAAAAAACAAAAGTATTCTTTTCTTGTACTCTTATGGGAAATACATGCACATTCATACAACATCTGCTGTCCAAACATCAGTCAGAAACTGATGAGACATTCTGTAATATCTTTTATCAGCACATATACTGATAGTAAAATAAACAGCTCTTTCCCGTGGAGTGTTTCAGCTCTGATCTGATCGATATGATGGTCATTTAAAGCTCCTGTCTGTTTCCAGAAGGACTCTGTCTGTTCTCCTGACAAACAACGCAGCGTAGAATCTCCTCAAATCTTCAGAATCCATCATGCTCGGTCTAAATTGAATCGGTCTGTTCTGACATGAGACTCAAGTGTCAGAATAACATAAAAAACAATCTCTGGACAGGGAGGAATTATATTTTTATATCAGAAATCACAGAACTCTGTGCACGCTGAAATGGGTTTTTGTTCAAGCCGTGTTTCATTGTCAGACTTCAAAAGTCATCAGAGATTACAGAGCTTTTAGGAAACCAGCTTTATGATGCTGCTTATATGATCAAAAACTACAGTAAAAATTGTGAAATATTATTAGAATCTAAAACAGCTGTTTTCTATGTGAATATCTGTTAAACTGTAATTTATTTCTGTGATGCGCAGCTGAATTTAGATAAAAAAGTTTGTCAAGACAAACTTGCAAGCCGGACCAGAAAGTTTGAAAAAGTCTGAAAAGATTAAAAAGTTTACGAAGTTTAGAAAAGTTTGAAGTTTGATGGTTTTCAGTCTGAAATAGTTTGAAGTTTAAAGTAGTTTTAAAAGCTTAAAGTTTGAATGTTTTTAAGGCAATACAGATAGATAGATAGATAGATAGATAGATGGATGGATGGATGGATGATAGATTGACAGATAGACAGATAGATAGATAGATAGATAGATAGATAGATAGATAGATAGATAGATGGATGGATGATGGATGGATGATAGATTGA